GTAGCAAATAATATAATGAAAGTAAAGTATCATTCCCTCGAGGATTTATTCAAAAATAATGATCAAACAAAAGACTTAGTGAGTTCAATTAAGTTGAGCCAAATATAATTAAAAAAAAGTTGATTTTCCAAACTAAGCTAATACTAAAAAATAAAGAAGCAATTGATTCACACACTTCAAACACAAATTGAGACCTAGGATTATTTATCCCCCTTGTATTTCATAACACCAAAATTACCTCCTCTCATTAATGCTTGTAATGAAAATAAGTGCTAACCTAGGGTTCTAAAAATATTTGGACAAGCTCTCTCAAGTCATGAATAAGTGTTTAGTTAAATTAATTGCCCAATCTCTTGTTACAATTAATAAAATTTAATTTTAATGTGGCTATGCAAGCTAGCAAATATATCTCTATCTTACTAGCAAAACTATCTATTCAACATGCAAATATCAAATTCTTGCACAATTTTACTTAAGTTCTACACTCAACCTAACCCTCTCAAGCATCAATTAAGTGAATCCAACATCTAAATAGTAGCTAATCACTTAGAAGTATTAAGGAAAGAGTAAAATAAACACATATATATCATTAATCACAAAGAGAGGAGGAACTTAATGTTAATCCATATAAAGGTTCAAAACAATCTTAGAGCAAAGAGTTTAGCTACTCATAATAAAAAAACTACAAATACACAAGATATTCACAGTCATTACAAGATTACAAGAAGAAAAGGGAAGAGAAATAGAAAAATCAAAGAAAAGAAACTTTAAATGTCTTCAAAACTCCATTTTCTTGCTTCAAACACTTCCAATGCCCAAACCCTATCACATCCAAGCTCCAAATGTGGCTAAAAGTTTAAAAAAAATATTTTAGGTTGAGCTCTCAGCATATATATGTCCTAGCTAATTAATTTTTGATAAATAAAATATAGCATTTTTCTGACAACGACAAAAGTCGTGAACGAAAGTCACAACTTTTTGACAAATTTGGCATTTTTAAACTATTTTCATAATTAACAAAATTTATCCCTTTTGCACTTGATTTCTTCATCCAAAAATATTTCAAAAAGTCTAAAAAATATGTTTTGAGTTGAGCTCTCAACATATATATGTCCTAGCTAACTAATTTTTAATAAATAAAATATAGTATTTTTCTGATAGCGGCGAAAGTCATCAACGAAAGTCATGACTTTTTGACAACTTTGACATTTTTAAACTGTTTTCACAATTAACAAAATTTATCCCTTTTGCACTTGATTTCTTTATCCAAAAATATCAACAAAGCTTTAGAAATGCATCTAATCAAATCTTAAATTAAAATAACATAAAATTAGGCTGAAAATATTAAATTAAAGCTAAGAATATAAATCTAAAGCAAAATGCACATTTTTCTAGTTTAGACAATAAAAATATATATAAATGAGACAAAATGGATTAAAATATAAAGAAAATGTGATGACATGACATAAAATTTTAGAGGTTAACATTATGCAACTCTATAGGCCTGGTCAGTGTCAACAACAGGCTCGAGTTTAGCAAGAGCAATAACTACACCATACAAATCAAGAATGGTGAAGACTCGTTCTTGCCATCACTTAAAATTATTGCCATCAAACACTTCTATCTTTAAAATATTTGAGAATGGCCTCGGTAGGGGAACAACAATAGTAGGAATGAACTGATCTCCACCAAAACTACTAGGGACATCCTTGGGGACGATGTTCTCAGCATTGGATGCCATGTTAATTCTTAAAGATTGTTGGCGGTATGTAGGAAAGTGAAAGCTTGAGTCATGTCAAAAAACAGTCCTTAATAACTATTCTAACACATTGGCATGGTAGACTGTCAGTTCCTTAAGATTAAACAAGCTTGTCCTGCAAATAAGTAAATTTTGGAGCTTTCAGGAGACAAAATGCTAACAAAAAAATTGCTTAAAGCCCATAAAAAAATTAAGCTAATTTAAATAAATAATTATTTATTTTTCACAAAAACAAACCAATAAAAAGAACCCAATGCCTCTTTAACTTGCACATAGGAGGCAAATTGGCTATCTTCAACTAGAATTACCTTGAGTTGGCCTGTTTTGTGTAAACAAACATACTTCTTTACCAAGCTCATTTTACTAACCCATTTCATTTCTTTATATATATATATATATATATATATGCATATACATACACACACATACTAAGAGCTCTCTTCGTGTGAGTAATATGAAGCTTTTTCTTTTGCACACACAATAACTACAACAAAAGATATTCTTGCTAGTCAGGCAAGTAGAATAATGGATTATTATATGGGAAAATGGATTTATCAATCGGAATCGATGTCCACAAATAAGCATGGTATAGTCAACAACTGGACCAAACCCACATGCATGATACCTTTGAATCAGTAGTTAGTTAATTTATTCAACCACTGACGTGCGTGAAACCATGCACAACGTGAACACATCTCTTTAAATTATATTGGACTGATCTGGATTAATTGATCTCATGATAATAAAGAACTTCTACCTATTTCACCAAAAAAAAAAAGAGGAGGAAAAAAAATTTGCTTCCCCACGAGGTGCTTATCACTTAAAAAAAAAAAAAAACCACATCTCACACGCACACATATTGATGTAAAGCGGGAAGGAAAAAGGGGAAGAGAGAGAGAAAAGAAAGAGAAGGAAGAAGGAAAAAGAATGAGGGAAATACGAAAGTCTTATAAACTCTTTTTTAATAATTCTAAAAAGCTGAATATAAATGAAAATTTCTAAATCTATTTATAAAGCTTTAAAATAATGAAATATTATAATGATGATTTAAATTCAAATATCAAATTCTAAATCTAAATCAAATCTTAAAAATACTAATATTTACAATAACAATAAAATAAATAATTAAAGCTAATTCTAATGGATTAATATCCTTATTTAAATATTTCTATTAGATAATTCTAATATCTTAAATTAAACCTAATTATATTTTATCCCATGTTGCATTATTTGTTTCCCGCTTGAAGAACTCAGCTCCTGACAAGTTAAAATTAAGGCACAAATTCAGGAAGGAAAGGGTAGGATAAATTTCAACAAAGTGCTTGAATTTGGAAACCCTTTCCAACAAGTGAGATTTTGAAAAAGTAACCTCTAGTAAGAGCAAGCAACATGAGATAAGCGAGCATCAAGGAATCCCTTCCAACAAGTTAGGTAGCAAAAGAACAAGCTCTTGGAAGAGTGAGTAGTTTGATAATTTATTTTATGTTGGATAAGTTTTCCTATTTAGATTATTTTACTTATTTTCTAAATTTCTAATCATCAATAAATGTTTAATAATTTTCTATATCTTGAAATTCCTTTCAAATGCTTCGAAATTACATGTAATTATTTTATTATATAGAGACAAAATATAGGATATTACACAAAGCAAATCTGAATAGTTAATTTATAAAAATTTTAAAAAAAATAAAATTGAATTGGACCACAAGATTAAATTTATATTATCCAAATTAATAATAAAATAAATTTATTATTTTTTTATAATTTTTATTTTAATAATTATAAAATAAAAAATAAAATAAAAACTTAATCTGAACAATTCAAATTGCTTATCATGTGATGAGCACCCAAATCGAATCCATGATATCCCTACCAAGCAGTTGCTCCACAAATTGAGGCATCCACTTTCCAATCATGTTAGTGGCAAACTCAGTTTGGGTAGTCATCATTGTGATAAGATCTGTGGTCCAAATTTAAAATATTATTATATATTATATTTATTAAAATAAAAACTTATAAAAATTATAAAATAACTTCAATAATTTTTTTTATTTTTAATATGATCTAGATTTAATTTAAATAGTCTAATTTAATATTAAAATTTTTATAATTGATATATACTGACTATCCATGTGTACTCTGCACAATCTAAATTTAATCTTGTGTTAATCTAGACTATGTAGAGCACATCTAGACAGTCAATATATAGTAATTATAAAAATTTTAATATTAAATTAGACCTTTCAAATTAAATTCAAACCATATTAAAAATAAAAATTTTATTAAAATTATTTTATAATTTTTATTTTAAAAAATATAAAATAAAAATATATAATAATACTTTAAATTTGAACCATTCAGATGGTTTAGATGATGAGCATCCACACCAAACTCTGTTGATGGTGACACGTTTTGGGTCAATGAGGCAGCTTGCATGCTAGTGGATTTAATATAAATAAACACTTGCCCATTTAACTTGTCCTCATTGAAACCATTTATATGAGCCCTGATCCTCCGTCTCATGCGACTATATATATAATTCAGGAACGAACCTATGCATGCTGGGACACTTGGCTCTTGCTCGATCGTATACATGTATATAATATAGGAAAAATTATTTATCAGTCCCATGAAATAAATTTATTTACAAATAAGTCCTATAAAATTCATAAATCACAACTAAATCCCTTAGAACATGAGTGTAATTTAAAGTTAGGATAAAAAGATAATAATTTTCCTATTAAACATATATATATATATATATATATATATCAATCAAATAATTTAGAACTATTTTATCAGTATTTTATAATTATAATTTTAATTTTTTACAACTATAATTTTATATATTTAATAATTAAATTGATCAGTTTAATATTGAATATGTAAATTTATAGTTGTAAAAAGTTAAAGTTATAGTTATAAATTACTGATAAATTAATTTAATTATTGGATTTGTAAAGTTATAATTATAAAAAGTTATTTTATAGTTGTAAATTACTGATAAAATAATCATAAATTAATTATTTAATTAACATAATATATTTAATAGGATATTATTGTCTTTGCAATCTAATTTCAAATTACACTTAAGTTTTAAAAGATTTGGCTATAGTTTCCAAATTTAGTAGGATTTATTAGTAAATAAATTTGCTTCACAGGACCTATACGTAATTTTTCTTATAATATATATTACATGCGCCTTGTGTTTCTCTCATGTTTCAAATTAACACCTAAGAGCATGAAGCCTGCAGCAACATCATTGATCACAACCCTCTCCTTCCTCCTCTGGCTCTCCTTCACCACCACCAAACCACTAACATCACAAGCCTCAGCTTCTGAACAAGTTCTTGACATTAATGGAGATCCTATTTTCCCAGGTCGAGAATACTACTTTGTGTCAGCTACATGGGGACCATTATGTGGTGGGCCTAAACCAGAAAGAACTGGAGATTCCTCATCATGTTCATATTCTGTTATCCTGGAAAGATTTGATGTGATGCTGGGTGAGCCAATAAGAGTCCGTGTTCCAGGAATAAGCACAGGCACGATATCTGTTGGTTCTTTTAATGCAGAAATCGAGTTCGTGAAAGAGCCAACAGGTTGTGCTGATTCATCCAAGTGGGTTGTTGCTTAAAAACCTGGATCATCTTTCCCTTCTTGCAGGCTTGTTATTGGTGGTTCCAAAGACCATCCGCAATGGAGCTTGGTGAATGGCGCTTTCAAGATTGACCAGATGGGAGGACTCGGCTACAAGCTTGTGTTTTGTACCAGATTCAATTTCCAGGCTTCAAATAGTTGTTATGGTGTTGGGATTAAGTATCAAGACGGAAAGAAGCATCTGGTTCTGAAAGAAACTGAAGACGAATCTCCCTTCAGGGTCTTGTTCATGAAGAAAGATCGTGTCTGGTAGAGGAAAGTCCGTCATATGAGTCAATTACATCGCTGATCGATATGAATAAGTGCTATATATAGCTTGCGATATATGAATATGATGATCCATATTTCCCTTCGTGTGGCTTTTAGTTTCACTAAATGTATCGTACAAGGGAATCAAGTTGTTGTGTCCTATGTACTCAGCTAGCTTTGATGAATTAACCACAGCGTTTCTGAAATTCTATAATCTGATCATGCCCCAAAACAACAAGGAACGTGGCAAGGAAGGAAGAACAAATGAACAACAAAAAGTAAAAAAAAAAAATCACATTTGAGAGGGAACAAATTGGCGATGAAAAGTAAAAAAACGACGCCTCTTAATTAAAAACTTAACAATCTTCCTTTCATTTTATTATATACATACATAAATATAGTGTGTGTGTCTGTGTCTGTGTCTGTGTCCGTGTTATTAAACACTAGCCTATGTTCATGTTCGACTTTTCAATTCAGTTCAGGTTTATTCACTTTTGAATATAACATTTTGTAACGAGCCCACAAAAGGAAAACACACATGAAAAGTATGGTGTAGAAATCTAAAAGGCTCTCCAACTTAAAAAAAAAAAAGGCTCTCCAACTCTTTTTGGGCCAGAGCTCTCCTACTTAATAAGTTATTTTTGGGATGGACTTTCGTTTTAGAGTGAATGTAAATTAAGATGAAAGCTTTACTTGAACTTCATTTCCCATGAAAAAAATCCGGGTTAAAATGTAAAATGCCGTCATGAAATCATGATTTAATGACAGATTTTTGTCTAACTAAATCTAATTCTTTTTTCTATTCTTGGGAACTCACAAATGAGCCTAAATAAGAAGTTATTAAAAGAAATTCAAAATACAGAAATCAATTTTTTATTAATTTTCCAAAATATTTGAGGAGAATTTCATTGAAATTCCATATAAAAAAATTAATTACTATAAGGTCCATTGACAACTTATATAAAACCATTTCAATAAAATTTATAATAATTAATTTTTTTATGTAACATTTGTATGTAATTTTTCAAAATATATTTACAAGGCTAATGATGGAGGCGTGCAGATTGACTGACTTAATTGGGTAGGAGGGAAGGACCGGCCCATTCAAGTGGGCTTGAATAAGTCACTTATATCTTAATTTGGGTCGGCATGTTTATTATTTAAATTTTTTTAAAAAAGAAAAATCATATTGTTAATAATTTATTAACCTGATGGAAAATAAATCTCATCTAAACAGACAAATGAAAAAAAAATTCTAGGAAATGGGATTTTTTTTTATAACCAGACAATAAAAAATACTATGAATTGGGGTATTTATGCTGAAGTTTCTAAAAACTTATCTAACATAATTTTTAATAGAAAGTGTAATTTAAGGTATATGGTTAAGTATATAAGGTTAATGTCTAAGTTTTTTCCTTTTAAATTTTAATTGTAATCCCATTACACATCATAAAAACGAATTATTCCATTGCAAGCATAAGATTCCCCCCCCCTTCTTTTTTGTATAGTAAATAACACCCGATTTTTATTTTTTTTATTTTTTTGCCAACAAATAATACACGAGATTTAAACACGAAGCAGGATAGATAGAAGATTTACATGAAGCCTCTGGAAAGTGTAGGAAAATTCCTGCACCGTCTTTAATAGTACTTCCGAAGGTGAAACACAGCTTTCCACCTCCTATACCAAAGAATCATAATCATATTGCTAAGCGAGTCCTCGAACTTTCTTCATCTCTCTACACTTCTCCTAAACGCTTCCGTTTGCCTATTCATTTGACAAAATGCATAGAATTTTCAGGAAGCGAGTCACCTCTCTGTCTCCCTATAAATATAAACCAGACTCGTGCTGCTATTTTCGCTGTAAAGCAAGAACACAATTCCCCAAGTGCTAGAGATCACTGTCATACCATATCTTGTCCAACACTTCTTCCAAACACTACAACAGAGGATATATATCAAGTAACAAATGAAGCAACAAGTACTCAACTTGTTGCCATTTATCCTATTTTTTCTTGCTGCTTTCCCATTCAAAGCAAACGGGTCTCTCCTACCATTTATAGATCGTCCTGGAAGTCTTTTGGCTGATCTCTGGTCCGATCCTTTCCCAGACCCATTTCGCGTGCTGGAGCATATCCCATTTGGGTTTGACAGAGATGAGACTTCATCCGTTGCTCTGTCTCCAGCCAGAGTAGACTGGAAGGAGACACCAGAGAGACATGTGATAATGCTGGACGTGCCAGGGTTGAGGAAAGATGAGATAAAGATAGAAGTGGAGGAGAACAGGGTGTTGCGTGTGAGTGGAGAGAGGAAGAAGGAGGAAGAGAAGAAAGGGGATCACTGGCACAGAGTGGAGAGGTCATTTGGCAAATTCTGGAGGCAGTTCAAGTTGCCAGACAATGTGGATTTGGATTCTGTGAAGGCTCGGCTGGAGAACGGAGTGCTTACTTTGACATTGGAAAAGTTATCACCTGATAGGATTAAAGGTCCTAGGACTGTAAGCATTGCAGCAGAGAATGAGCAGCCTGCCAAGCTTGAGAGCAGTGAGGCCAAGCAGGAGCTTTGAGTCATGAGGGATATAGAGAAAGGCCTTTGAATCTTGTGTCAATAAAAGGGTTTCAGCTGGACCAAGACTTTCTGTTTCTTTACTTTGTCTTCTTATTTTCTCTTTCCTTTCAACGTATGTGTTACTTTGTGATCTTTGCTGATGATGAGAATATGCAGCGTTGTACTGGCTTTGCTGTAATCTTCTAATGAATGTAAAGGAATTTTCCTAATATGTATATTATGTCTTCCAGTCATCCAAGTTCCTCTATTTCTTGAAGCACTTTCTCCATTGTCTGTCTTTGAGAAAAAGCAGTTGATAAGGCTTGCTTTCTTATGCAGCCTTAGCCCGAGTGTTGACAATGTTGATAAAATAATCACCTGGAAATAACACGATTACCAAACAACAACAACACGCACGATTTTTAGGAATCCGTGCAAACAGGAGATCAAGCTCAATCGTCATCTACAAACTATTCCCTTAAACTGCGGTTGAACATATTTACATTGGCTTTCAACGAATTCCAACATCATACAATTGAACAATCTAAAAGTTAGCTCCAAGAAATTTCAAGAGCTATAGCACAGAGAATGTTAATTCTATTTGACATCCCGTACATGACGAGAGTATCCTGATCCTCAAAGCAAAGCAGTGGAAGCTAATCTTCGAATCAAGTCCTCAACTCTACCATTGATCATGATTATCTCTCTGAGGTCTGAGTATTTTCTGTACTCGCGTTGCATTAGAAAGCTGAGCATGTAAAAAAACCTAGTCTGGATTCTGGCATCGTGATTGTGGCCAGAGCTACAAGAATACTGAATCTTGAGTCTTGTCTTGTTATGTGGGCATGCGACTTGAATGGATGAGGTATCTTAGGCTTAATCATGGGGCAGGACCACAATTCAAGATTTGCAAACCTACGACCCAAATTTCTTATTCCTTTCACTTCCATTCTAGTCCGATCGATCTTCAAAACTACAAAAGAACCAATCCATTGAAATTTTTGGCTGTGACTGTATTCCAATCCTATCTGATTTTTATCCTATTCACCCCCAAAAAACAAAATCATCAGCAAGCTTTGTGTTGCCTAATGTGATTAGTTTTGAGTTTCGATTCACACTTCCTTTTCCTTTTATACCACCATTGCAGGTACGACATCAATAATCTCCCTGCTTATCTCTCCTCACTTTTTTGGCTCTTCATTTATCACCAGAGATCTCAAAAACTTGTTTGAAAGCTTCAAGGTTGAGTTTTTCAAAGTCCAAAACCCTTCCTTGATCGCCATCTGTGCAGGCAGAACCATTAAAGAGGCAGATATGATTTTGATGCCTTCCTCTCTTCTTTGTTTACGTACTACAAATCTGGCAAGGTGGATTTCTAAAGCGTGAGGGGATCAAGATCAACGATGACTTCATTTCTAAAACCAGTGAGGCTTTCCAAAATACTACATATTTCTTCTGTTCTTGGATTTGATTTATCAACAGAGTAGAACTGACAAACTTGATCATCAACCTCAATCCAGCTACAGCCTGGGATTTTATAAGAATTTTGCTCCTTCAATGTTCTCCATACCTTCCTAGCTTCATCCCACTTTCCTAACTCCTCATATATGTTAGCCAGCACTGTGCCATAACCTCCATTGTTTGGATTAATTTCAATTAACTTTTGGCTGCCAATTCTGCCAAATCTGTACGGCCATGAATTTTGAAGCCATTAAGCAAAGAACCCCAAACAACCTCATCAGGTTCCATGCTCATGCCCCTCATAACTTCCATTGCCTCATCAAATCGGCCTGCTCGACCAAGAAGATCTATCAAGCATCCGTAGTGTTCAATCCGTGGCTCTATGTTGAATTTTTGCACCATCATTTCAAAATAAAGTAACCTTTTTCAACTAATCCTCCATGAGTACAGGCATTTAACAAACCAATGAAGGTGACCTCATCAGGTCTTATACCCTCACAACACTCCATCATGTGCTCAAACATGGCAATTGCGCAATCACTGTGCCCATGAAGCGCAAAAGAATTGATAATTGAATTCCATGATGTTAAGCCTTTTTCTTGATTCATCTCAAAAACCTTTCGTGCCTGTTCAAGGTTTCCACATTTGCCATACATATCCACAAGAGCATTTGATGTAAACGAGTCAAGAACAAACCCGTTTTTGTATAAGTAACCATGTATCCACTTTCCAAGCCGAAGCATCCCAGTGTGGCTACATGCAGAAAGCGCGCAGACAACTGTAACTTGGTTTGGCTTCATATATCGAAATTGCAACTGTTTCTCCATGGCAAGAATAACCATTTTTCTAAACAGTCTAATTGCCTCGGAGAAAAACCCATTCTGAGTGCATCCCGCAATGATAGCATTCCAAGAGGGGACGTCTCTCTCAGGCATTTCATCGAACAACTTCATGGCATTCTCAATATCCCCCATCCTCGCATACCCACAAACCATGGCCGTCCAAGACACAATATTTCTCTCACACATTTCATCAAAAACCTTCCTAGCTTTCCCCACATTGCCCAAAATCCTCGAGTAAGAATCCACGAGAGACGTTTGCACAACGGGATATTGCTCAAAACCCGATTTCAAAACCTGGGCATGAACCAAACCGGTGCCATTCGATCCCAAAACCTCAGGGCATGACTTCAAAACGTGAGGGTAGATAAACTGGTTGGGTTCGGGATTTCTTCGGCGAACCATGTCGCGGAACAACAGGAAGGCGGAGACGTGATCAGGTTGAGAGGCATAAGCGGTGATCATGCCTGTGTAGAGAAAAATGTTGGGTGATTTGAGGTGGTTGAAGATAACGCGAGCGTAATGGAGATTGAAAAGAGTGAGAGTACAGAAGCGGACGAGCTTAAAAGCGTAGAACTGGGTTTGGGCATGGCCGAGGGCGGTGAGGTAGCCTTGGAGTTGCTTGAGATGACCAAGATGGTTGCTTTTTGCAAGGAGTGATAAGACATGTTGATTCAGATTCATCGGATCATGCACCGCTCGTTCAGTAGCTTCCGCGAGTGAATGGAAGTGATGCACATTTGCACATAGAATTCGCAAAGGCATGGCTTATGGTGAACTGACCATAGTATCGTCATTAGAGTTGAAAAACGAGTTCCAGCACTTATAAACCTAACCTTTTAAAGTCTCTAAGTTCTAAAGTTTAATTTTTTAAAAATGTTTTTTTAAAATCTTAAGGCCTTATTTTTATGTAAAAGGCTTAAAATTGAGGACTTAAGTCAGATTAAAAAAATAAAAAACTCATATTATAATTTAATTATAAAATTAGTCAAAGTAATTATTCTAGTAGGTCAAAAAAAAAATTTGGTTGAACTTGGTGAAAATTAGAGCATTTACATAAGACAATTAAAAATCAAAATATTGGTCACCTAACAACCACAACAAGACAATAGCTGCAAGTGAAAAGTAGATCATGAGAGGTGTGAGAGAGAGCAAATGTAATAGATGTGAAAGGTGACAGGGCAAGTAAATATGGGAGGGAGAGCCTAGTGACTCCAAGTGAGGCAAAGATTAGAAACAAGGTGTAACACCCTCAAATTTATAAACTGGTTTTTCGCAAATTATTAATTTAATAAATTATTTTTTTCATTAAACTCTTATCATACCCTTATCATGGTAGAAAAATTTCTACCATTATACATTCAAGACAATATATCACAGGTCTTAAAATATCTTAAAAAGCAATTAGAACCATGAGGGACAGACAGGATCCTTATGGCATGATATTTAAATCAGGTCATGAATCAAGAGGGACAAACATAATCCTCTTGGTTATATAAATGCATTTAATAAAAAGGATTAGAGTTTACATGTTGTCAAAATAAGAAATGTCCTAGGTTGGCATAAGATACATTGTATAATACAAAATGGGAGGCAACGTAAAAGATGGTGTCTCATATACCATAGTTACACCTCTGGTGCTTTCTCTGCCGGACTCACTCTTGTAAAAATATTAACTACGGGAATGAGACTTAAAAGTCCCAGTAACCAAAAATTAATATGTAATGATGCATGCGGATGTAACTAATCATGCGATTGTTAAGTGGGCACACAAAAATATTTAATCGAACAATATTTCCAAACAAACTGAACAAGTATTTAATTGTATGACTACACCTTATATCCTCCTCTCGCCATGCTCGGACGCCAAATCACCCGACCAAAGGTGAGTTAGACCAAGCGACACGCCACTCATTGGGTCCAATGAGGGCTTACCACGTGGTAATAATTAACCGAATAGAAATTTCATTAACACCATACATTAAAATACCCTGACAAGTCATGCATCATTCAAATATCCAAACAGGAATATATCGAAATAATAATATCTCATCATGATAAATAAAAATAAATTTTTAACCCACTTGACAATAATTTCAAACAAGTATATATACAGTATTTATTTTTAATAATTCATAATTTTTTCAAACAACAAAACAATACATAACCATTCACAAACACACCCATCACAACACATTAATAATGGTTACCTTGTGTCTTGAATAACAAGTTTTCCTTCGCAAATCCTCTTTCACCACTATCTTTGTCAACACAATCTACATAATTATTTCATAATAATTTTACATTAAAATAAATAACTAATTTAAAAAGTTAGAAAGTCTTAGACTTAAAATTCATATTAACACTAATTTAAATTTATGCTTTATTTAACTTCTCAAATTCTTTTCTAAAATTCTCGTACCCTAATAAACTATTTTTTTATCCTCAAATCACTTCTAGTATCACAATTTCATCCTTCTATATTCTAAAAATTCATCCAAAAATAAATTAAAAATTTTAAAATTATCCTGAAGTCTCAAATCACCTTTCTATAACCTCAAAAATACCTATTCATACTTAAATAAATATTTAATAATCAGAGATTCATCCCTACATCTCAGATTTCACATAACCATATAGATTTAGATTTTAACTCAAAAATTCTTAAACATGAGTTTCAACCTCAAGAAAATATTCTATAATATTTATTATATCTCTAAGAGTTTTAACCTATATTTTTAATCCATCATATCATCAGATTAACTATCTTATAGAAAAATTCTAATCAGAATATTTACTCTATCCTACAAAATAATCATATCACTAGAAAGCTAATATTATTTAAAAAAATAACTATAAAATTAATTTTGTAATTAAATAAATTTTTAAATGCTAATCTAAACAGGAAGTTAGAACATACCTGAAGAAAAAGAAAATAATTCCCCTTGCGAGAAGACACCGAGCAACGTGAGAGGAAGAGAAAAAATAATATAAAAATTAGATTTTAGGTCCCACAATTATATTAAAAAAAACTATAGGTTTAAATTTAATTATTCAAATCTTTGGGTCATTACTTGCGATTTTCACAAATTGCACCTTGGGTTATTAGTTGCAATTTTTACAAATTATAGAAATATTTCTTTTTGCTTCCTTCTGGGTCTCGTTGCCTGTGCCTCCTCTTTTTATATGTGAGAGACACCTCACCTTCCCACATCTAATCGATGTGGGACTTCTACAGTAACCCTTTTTTTTTTAATGCACACACACACATAATTTTTTTTATTTTAAATCTTAAAATTATATCTTAACAAAATATTTCTTATATAATTTTAAACCTAAATTTTTAATTCATAATTAAATTTCTAACCATATTATTATTTTTGAATAATTTCAAATAATATAAATTCCTATTATTATTATTATTTTTTTAAAATCAGGATGTTACACAAGGCAAGGAGGACGAATGGCTAACAAGAGAGCAAAGATGCCAATTGAGGTAAAGATAAACAATGATCAATGGGAAAGCAGATGAGTGATTGTGAAATCTTTAATCTTCAAATTGAGAGAGTGAGAGTTTTGATTGAACAAAGAAGGTTGAGAGAGTGAAAGTCAAGAGATCAAAAATTAGAAAAGTTTAAACCTTAAATGTTTCATCCATGCATCATTTTTATATAGATCGTAAAAAAAAAAAAGATAACAAGGCTTAGAGGGTTGTCCGGCTCGAGCCCATTTTTCAGGGCTTATCAATGCCGAGCCTAAAAGCTCGATTATCTTAAAAAACTCTCATTTTTTAAACTCAACCCTTTATTTAAGTAGGGCTTGTAAGCTCGACCCTTTAAGTCTTGTCCTTATTTCTAACTTTAATCATCATACATTGATAAATGAAATTAAATGAAATTGAAAAGAATAATGAACTGAGTAAGTGGGATTGGCGTTGGCTCCCTACTTCGACCAAAAAAAAATGGTGAGATCGATAATTGATTAATTTGAGATGGTCCCAAACCTCCCATTAATTTTATAACTGGATAATAACTTGGAATTTTGACCATGTTCCTTTTTCTTCTTTTTAGAAAATTATATATAAATCTCACTTAATATAATTAATTACTTTCAAGTATATTAACAATTAAGTTTAGTTAAAGAAAAAGTAATTAATTGCGTTAAGTGAAATGTTATAATAATTTTTTCCCATGAAGAGACAAATTTATATTTTTAAAAGATAACAAAAAAAGAAAAATACTTTTAAAAAAGGAAAACTTCATGTGAATTTAATTTCAATAAGCTAGTTAATGTCATTAAAATTATACCCTCTTTTTATATTTATTCTTATTTAATATGATATTTTAATTACAAAATCTTGTTAATTAGACCCTTTAATTGAGGATATTTTTGAAAAAAATTCCAAATTATATCTTGAAAACCAAAAGTGCCTTATATTTTTTACCATCTTATCTAAAAAAGTATCTTACATTTTTAAATGGAGGAAATATTTTTTTTTAAGATAATTTTATAGACATTTTAATTAAATCACATGAATTAAGAAATGTGATTAAAATTCGTGAAGAAACTTGGTTTTTCAAAATGATTTATACAAAATTTAAATTATCTTTAATTAAAAGGAAAAATACAATTATCAATTTCTATAATTTTATCAAATTTTACTTTTAATCTTTATGGTTTTTTTTGGTGTTTTCAATACTTATAATAACTAAAAATGCTGAAAAAAATTAAAATTATATGGGCCTAAAGAACAAACGTCACCTACTTTTTTTAAAAACTATAAAAACTAAAAATACTAAAAAAATACATAGACTAAAAGTAAAATTGAATTAAAACTATAAAAATCGATGATTGTGTTTTTTCTAATTAAAAATATTAATTTTACCTTTAAATATTAAAATTAAAAATTTCTTATTTAATTGAATTACACTTTCAATAAGTTAGTTGATGTCTTTAAAATGATATATTTTTTCATATTTGTCCTTATTTAATAAAGTATTTAATTTAAAAAAATTATTAATTGTGCCCCTTAATTAAAGGTATTTTTTAAAAAATATCATTAATTATATTTTAAAAGACTAAAAATATATTATATTTTTAAATATCATATCTAAAAATTGCCTTATATTTTTTTTAATATAAAGAGTATTCCCTTTTTAAGATAATTTTATAGACATTCTTAAGTAAATCATCTAAATCAAGAAATGTGATTAAAATTAATGAAGAAACTTGACTGTTTTAAAAAAATTTATAAAAATTTTAAATTATTATTAATTTTACTTTTAAATTTTAAAATTAAACTTACCATCCAAATGAATTAATGAACTAATTGGATATGTGGATATTTTAAAAAATAACTTATTAATACTTCACCAAGTTTAATAAGGTGTCTTATGTTCAAGATAGAAGAGAATACATTTTTATTCTAGACAAAGTATTTTTTATTTTTAAGAAAATTGAGAATCCTAATTTTTAAAAATATAAATCGTGTCAACTTGTATGTATACTTAAGCCAGAAGCAAAATCAATTAAACTCACGAATTTACTCTTTGAGTTTACCTTTATTATGTTAACTTATAAAATTATATTAACTCATTTATAAATTTAGATTAGATATAAATTTAATTAAACTCACAAGTGATTAGGTTAAATTTGCTAAATTTATTGATCTTTTAACAAGTTGAGTAAGTTAAATATATAACTCTTAAAAGTTGAATCACAGAAGAGATACACGGTTCAAACAAAAATGAAAATAATAAAGCAAAAACTAATA